ATCATGGGGGGAAAAGGCTAGGAAATAAAAACTAAAAGGATTTAGATAGATAGAAAAGAAACTACCAAGCACTCTAAGGACAACCACGAGTCAAAAAAAGCATGGAAGCAAAAATAAACACACTGACTGTATGATTCCACTCATATGAAGGACCTAAGAAGTCAAAGTCATAGAAACAGAAAGCTGAATGGCAGTTACCTCAGGGTTTAAAAGAGGAGGAGGTAATAAATGAGTGTTTAATGGGTAGAGTTTCAGTTCTGCAAGATTAAAGTTTTGCAGATCTATTGCACTACAACACGAATATATTTGAGACTACTGTAAATGTACAGGCTTCTCAGGTGGCGCAGAGGTAATGAATATCCCTGCCAATGTGGGAGACGCAAGAGACACATGTTCCATCCCCAGGCTGGGAAGATCCCCTGGAGTAGGAAATGGCGACCCTCTGCAGTATTCCTGCCTGGAAAAGTCCATGGGGTCGCAAAGAGTCGGACACAACTGAGTGAGCACACACAAACACCCTGAAGTGTATGCTTAAAAGTAATTAAGATGACAATAGTCTTTTTTTTTAAACCACAATTAAAATAAATAAATAAACCACGATTAAAAACTCTCGTGGCTCAGCTGGTAAAGAATCCGCCTGCAATGTGGGAGGCATGGGTTTGATTCCTGGGTTGGGAAGATCCCCTGGAGAAGGGAAAGGCTACTCACTTCAGCATTCTGACCTGGAGAATTCCAAGGGGTTGCAAAGAGTAGGACATGACTGAGTGACTTTCACTTTCACTTCACTTTCAAAAATAAAAATAAACACTCTGACAGGTCAGTGAGGCAACAAGTCCAACTAGAATAATTTCCATGCTATAGAGGAGTTGAAGGTAAGTTTGAATACATAGTGTTGGTGAAGGGAAGACAGGTTACAAAACACCATCAATTAGTGTGTTGGATATTATACAATATCAGTCAACTGATGAGTTCCAAAGAGGTTGGATATAAAACTCATTTAGTTGTAAAATGAATGTCTCATTTTCTTGTTAATATCCACTATACACAGAGAAATAGGTTCTGGTATAAAACTATTAATCTTGCTCTATGATAAAAAGTACTTAAAAATCATTAAGTCAGGGGAGGCGGGAGGGGAGCTTGGGACGGGGAATACATGTAAATCCATGGCTGATTCATGTCAATGTATGGCAAAAACCACTACAATATTGTAAAGTAATTAGCCTCCAACTAATAAAAATAAATGGAAAAAAAATTTTTTTAAATAAAGGAAAAAAAAAATCATTAAGTCGGGCTTTTCCAGTGGCCTCAGTGGTAAAGAATCTGCTTGCCAATGCAGGAGACATGGGTTCGATCGCTGATTGGGGAAGATCCCACATGCCTCAAGAGCAACTAAGCCTGTGTGTCACAACTATTGAGCCCATGTTCTAGAGTTTTCGAGCTGCAACTACTAAAGCCCTCATGCCTTGGAGCCTGCATTCCGCAACAAGCCACTGCAATGAGCAGCCCCCGCTCTCTGCAACTAAAGCCAGAGCAGCATGGAAGACCCAGCGCAGCCAAATATAAATAAATATACTTTTTTTTAATATCATTAAGTCATTCTGCAGATAAGGAGAGTAACCACAAACAAGTAATTGACTTGTCTTAGGTTATGCTGCCCTTGGAATGGGAGATGTTCCTTGAAGCAGATGATATGTCAATTCTGCCAATACAAAAGGTACTACTAAATAAAAGAAAGTCATACTCCACTCCATCATTAGAAGTGGGCGCTTAAAAGACACAAATACACAGCAGCCCAAATTCATCGCATTTCAACTGTTACAAGAAATTTAAAAATGAACCACCAGGATACCGATACAAAGCAATTATAAGAAATATTTTAGGTGATAAAAATTCTCAACTAACAATCACAAACAGAAAATGCAATATCCATATGAAATCAAATTGTCAAACAAGCATTTGCAATATGGAAAAAAAACACAATCAACATTTCTAAAAACTCAGATGAGAAACGAAGGCAATAAGGAGTCAAATCAGAAGTTAAACAAAACCAAGAAAGAAAAGGAAGAAAAACTAATACTGACTGCAAGGCGCCCAAAGAAGATACTTGACTGAAAAATCTAACGGATACCAAGGAACAGAGGAAAAGAGAGGAAAGAAGAAAGAAAGGAAAATAAAGTGGTAACTGGCAAAAAATATTTAGCATATGAGTAAATGGGGTTCCTGAAGAATAAAAGCTAAACAATTTAATAAACAGTAGTTAGGACTCCTGCTCTTACTGCTAAGGGCCTGGGTTCATTCCCTGGTCGGTGAACTAAGATCCCAAAAGCCTCGGAGCTGAGCCAAAAGAAAAAAAAAAAGAATTAAAATATATATACTCCATGACCCAGGCATTCACCAAAGAGAAATAAAAACATATGCTCATACAAAGTCTTTTACACTAATATTTATGGTGTTTCTATTTTTAAGTCGCAAACTGAAAGCAACCCAAATATTCATGAACAAGCGAAGGAATAAACTGTAGCACATTTATGCAACAGGATCCTACAGCAATGAAAAGGAATGAATAACTGATACATAAATGGATGAAACGCAAATTATGCTGAATAAAAGATGCCATATTAAAAAAAAAAATCCCATGTAAAATTCTGGAAAATGCAGACTAAACAAGGGTGACAAAAAGTGGATCAGCAGTTGTCTGGGGACGGGACATGAGGAGGGATGAAAGGGAAGAATTACAAAGGGTATAAAGAAATTCAAATCCTTCCACACACTGGTAATACATGGAGAAGCTGGGACAACATGAAGAAGAGATGGCTTGTCAGTCCCTAGCGGCTCAGTCACCAGCTACTGTAGCTCCGACACCTATGTGCATACAAACACATGAAAGGTCTGAAGGAGAACCGCCCACTAAGACCTTCACAGGCTCCTGCCCCACAGAAATTATGAGAAATAATGACTATTGCTCCAAGCCACTAAGTTTTGGGTGACTTGTTACCCAGCAGTAGCACAGAGAACAGACACTCAGGACTGCCTTTATACTTGTTCCTCAGTCATCAACAGTAGCCCACCTCTGTCCCTACAGCCATTTCAAAATGAAATGTCTTCTCCATATCTCTCAAATCAGTGTGCCAGAGATGGGCAAGGAATCTTCCTTGTTCCTCACCTCCACTTCCAGATGTTTCTTCCTCCCTAAAACTCCCAGGTTTGAAAACTGTCACCAAACTCTACTTACTGTCCACTATCCCTGCTCACAGCAATCACCTACAGCCTCCTGGGTCACCCTGCTTCATTCTCGGAGGTTTATATCCCAGTACTCTCTCCAACACTACTCCTGTCATAAGTTTTGGTTACTTAAAAACCCATGTACATAATCCTTCCAATACCCTATCCTTGTTAGTTCTTTAAATGCTTCGCTACCAATGACCTTTTAGAGTGCCCAGTCTCAGCTACCCACTTCTATGGTCTTTAATATCATCATCAACTACAACCTCTCCATAAACTCAACTAAGAGTCCTACTCTCCAGCTACCACCTGCCAGGCTCTACAACTTACTCCTAGTAGGGTGATGATGACAATCATCTCACCTCACTGGGCCTGGTAAAACTGTCATCTTCCTACTTTTTAAACGGTCTCTCACCATCCTAATGTCCTCACTTTCTTTCTTAGCCAACTTAAAGTCACCATCAGTCAAGAAGGTAACTCTCTGCACTGGCCTCCTCACTTCATACTAGGTTAAAACTATAACCCTATTAATTTCTACTATTCATTGACTTTGTCTGCCCTCGCACACCTGGATATGAATTTAGCTAATGAAAGACACAATCATGCTATCTAGTCTCCTTTAAACTCATAACCACAAATCTGAAGTAGGCCTTGAATATTGCCTAGCAACAATTCCACTACATTTAATCCAACACTCACCCACTCTCTTAGAGGCTCACTTCCTACCTTCTCTCTTCCCAAACCTCCAACACCTCACCCCTGCTCCCTCCTCACTACTGACGACTTGCTTCTTTTACTGAGAGAATAGCAACAATCAAAACAGAATTTTCATAATCTCCTGCCACTATATCTGCCCATCCACACAAATCTGTACCCATATAACTGAACTGTCATTATTTCTAACAAAGGCCAAATCCATTCACTCCTACCTACTCTAGAATATTGCTGCCACAATCCTCTTCTTTCTTCTGCAACATCAATTATATCGTCCTTATTGGATCTTTCCTATCAGCCCACAAACATGCTGAAACATTGTTCCCATCTTCAAAATAAAAAACCAATTAAGAATCCTCTTTATCTCACTCCCTCTCCATCTGATTTCTCTATCTTCCAGTACCCACAATAAAACTTGAAATATTTGCTTATGTGTTGCCTTGAATTTCCTCTCTGACTCTTGAACTCACTCCAATCACATTTCACTCAAGAAGTTCTAAACTACGACAACATTGTTAATCGGCTATACACCAATACAAAAGTTAAAAAAAATTTTTTTTAAAGAATGAGTTCTAATCTTACCCCCTTATAAACCTGCTCTACCTGTAGTCTTCCCCATCTTAGTAAAAGGCAACTTAATCTTTTCAGCTCTTCAGAACAGTCTTGGAGTTATCCTTCACTTTTCTCTCTCAAGCCTCTATTATTGTACCCACGTGCACAACCTGTTGCCTCCGATTTCAAAATATATCCAGAATGCAAGTGATTTTGCTCTTCACGGCTAACAACTGGATCACTTCAATAAACTCCTAACTAGTTTCCCTGCTTCGCCCTGGCCTGTCCCTACATACATCCCACCCCTTCTCAAAGCTAGGGGGTGGACAGCCAGGGTACAATCAAGTAGCGGCAGCGCTCAAAGTCATGAAGGAGCCCAAACTGGGCGAAGAAGGAGCTTGAGGCTGAGGCTCCCAAGTGGGGAAAGAAGTAGAAACATGCGGACGCAGTGAGCGGACTGGCCGGGGAAGGAGCGCGGGGGCTGGTCGGCGACAGCGGGGCCTCAACCTCACCTCGCCAGTGCCGCGCCGGAACAGTACCGAGTCCTCCGGCTCCGGGAAGCCGCTGCCACTGCCGCCGCCGCCGCCGCCGCCCATCGCCATGGCTAGCTCGCTGCCGGGTGCGCAGCGTGGGCTCCGTCCCTCGGCGAGTGACGACTTCCGCCGCCCGGCCTCTGGGACCGGAAGAGCATGGCGGCCTGGGGGCTGCCGGCCGCGCGGGGGGGGGGGCGCCGTGTGCTCTTCGCTCGCGGGCGCCCCCTACCGTCGGGTGCGTCGGTGTGCCGTCTCTGTATCCTTTATTATTATTTTTTTTCCATTTATTTTTATTAGTTGGAGGCTAGTTTCTGTATCCTTTAAGTTCATTGATTTCACTTTTGCGTCTGCTTGTAGAATGTTTCGACCCATAATAAATCCTCTTAGAAAAACAATGTTCGTTGCGGGTCACTTACAAAATATGGGTAAGCAAGAAGTAAAAATCAGTCCATTGTTAACCGATAATAATATAGCTGCCATGTTTTTTTTTAAGTGCTTTTAAGAGCTTCATGTACTTGTGCTCAGTTGCTTCAGTCGTGTCCGACTCTGTGTGACCCTATGGACTGTAGTCCACCAGACTCCTCTGTCAATGGGGATTATCCAGGCAAGAATACCGGAGTGGGTTGCCATGCCCTCCTCCAAGGGATCTTCCCAAGCCAGGGATGGAACCCACATCTCTTGGTTTCCTCCATTAGCAGGCAGGTTCTTTACCACTAGCGCCACGTGGGAAGCCCCTTTATGTACTTATGTTCACAACAATCTTTTGAATTAGGGGCTGTTATTACCATTTAATTGGTGAAGGCAATGGCAACCCACTCCAGTGGCAACTTGCCTGTGAAATCCCATGGACAGAGGAGCCTGGTGGGCTACAGTCCATGGGGTCACAAAGAGTCGGACACGGCTGAGCGACTTCACTTTCACTTTTCACTTTCATGCACTGGAGAAGGAAATGGCACCCACTCCAGTGTTCTTGCCTGGAGAATCCCAGGGACGGGATCCTGGTGGGCTGCCGTCTATGGGGTCGCACAGAGTCGGACACGACTTATGTGACTTAGCAGCAGCAGCATTACCGTTTAATGGAGAAGGAAATGGCAGCCCACTCCCATATTCTTGCCTGGAGAATCCTATAGACCGAGGAGCCTGGCAGGCTACAGTCCATGGGGTCGCACAGAGTCAGACATGACTGAAGCGACTTCGAATGGCAAGGCGTTTCCATTTAAAGATGAGGAAACTGAGGCACAGAGCATTTACACAGCTGTCTGTAATCCATCAGTCCTTTAACACGGCGCAGCCATAGCGTTTAATATTTCTTCTCCCAAATCTTCTCGTGACTTTTTGAACTTAAAAACATGAATTGTACTGTTTTGTTTTTTTTTTTTAAATTAATTAATTTATTTATTTATTTTTTTTTATCACAACCATAGTGTATCTTTTTTTTTTTTTTTTTTTTTTTACATGTATTCCCCATCCCGGTCCCCCCTCCCACCTCCCTCTCCACCCAATCCCTCTGGGTCTTCCCAGTGCACCAGGCCCGAGCACTTGTCTCATGCACCCAACCTGGGCTGGTGAACTGTTTCACCCTAGATAATATACGTGTTTCAATGCTGTTCTCTTGAAACATCCCACCCTCGCCTTCTCCCAGAGTCCACAAGTCTGTTCTATACATAGGAGTCTCTTTTTCTGTTTTGCACATAGAGTTATCGTTACCATCTTTCTAAATTCCATATATATGTGTTAGTATACTGTAATGGTCTTTATCTTTCTGGCTTACTTCACTCTGTATAATGGGCTCCAGTTTCATCCATCTCATTAGAACTGATTCAAATGAATTCTTTTTAATGGCTGAGTAATATTCCATGGTGTATATGTACCACAGCTTCCTCATCCATTCATCTGCTGATGGGCATCTAGGTTGCTTCCATGTCCTGGCTATTATAAACAGTGCTGCGATGAACATTGGGGTACACGTGTCTCTTTCAGATCTGGTTTCCTCGGTGTGTATGCCCAGAAGTGGGATTGCTGGGTCATATGGCAGTTCTATTTCCAGCTTTTTAAGAAATCTCCACACTGTTTTCCATAGTGGCTGTACTAATTTGCATTCCCACCAACAGTGTAAGAGGGTTCCCTTTTCTCCACACCCTCTCCAGCATTTATTGCTTGTAGACTTTTGGATAGCAGCCATCCTGACTGGTGTGTAATGGTACCTCATTGTGGTTTTGATTTGCATTTCTCTGATAATGAGTGATGTTGAGCATCTTTTCATGTGTTTGTTAGCCATCTGTATGTCTTCCTTGGAGAAATGTCTGTTCAGTTCTTTGGCCCATTTTTTGATTGGGTCATTTATTTTTCTGGAGTTGAGCTGGAGGAGTTGCTTGTATATTTTTGAGATTAATCCTTTGTCTGTTGCTTCGTTTGCTATTATTTTCTCCCAATCTGAGGGCAGTCTTTTCACCTTGCTTATAGTTTCCTTTGTTGTGCAAAAGCTTTTAAGTTTCATTAGGTCCCATTTGTTTATTTTTGCTTTTATTTCTAAAATTCTGGGATGTGGGTCATAGAGGATCCTGCTGTGATTTATGTCGGAGAGTGTTTTGCCTATGTTCTCCTCTAGGAGTTTTATAGTTTCTGGTCTTACATTTAGATCTTTAATCCATCTTGAGTTTATTTTTGTGTATGGTGTTAGAAAGTGTTCTAGTTTCATTCTTTTACAGGTGGTTGACCAGTTTTCCCAGCACCACTTGTTAAAGAGGTTGTCTTTGTTCCATTGTATATCCTTGCCTCCTTTGTCAAAGATAAGGTGACCATAGGTTCGTGGATTTATCTCTGGGCTTTCTATTCTGTTCCATTGATCTATATTTCTGTCTTTGTGCCAGTACCATACTGTCTTGATGACTGTGGCTTTGTAGTATAGTCTGAAGTCAGGCAGATTGATTCCTCCAGTTCCATTCTTCTTTCTCAGGATTACTTTGGCTATTCGAGGTTTTTTGTATTTCCATACAAATTGTGAAATTATTCGTTCTAGTTCTGTGAAAAATATCGTTGGTAGTTTAATAGGGATTGCATTGAATCTGTAGATCGCTTTGGGTAGTATAGCCATTTTGACAATATTGATTCTTCCAATCCATGAACACGGTATATTTCTCCATCTGTTTGTGTCCTCTTTGATTTCTTTCATCAGTGTTTTATAGTTTTCTATGTATAGGTCTTTTGTTTCTTTAGGTAGATATACTCCTAAGTATTTTATTCTTTTTGTTGCAATGGTGAATGGTATTGTTTCCTTAATTTCTCTTTCTGTTTTCTCATTGTTAGTGTATAGGAATGCAAGAGATTTCTGTGTGTTAATTTTATATCCTGCAACTTTACTGTATTCGTTGATTATCTCTAGTAATTTTCTGGTAGAGTCTTTAGGATTTTCTATGTAGAGGATCATGTCATCTGCAAACAGCGAGAGTTTCACTTCTTCTTTTCCTATCTGGATTCCTTTTACTTCTTTTTCTGCTCTGATTGCTGTGGCCAAAACTTCCAAAACTATGTTGAATAGTAGTGGTGAGAGAGTGGGCACCCTTGTCTTGTTCCTGATTTCAGGGGAAATGCTTTCAGTTTTTCACCATTGAGGGTGATGCTTGCTGTGGGTTTGTCATATATAGCTTTTATTATGTTGAGGTATGTTCCTTCTATTCCTGCTTTCTGGAGAGTTTTAATCATAAATGGATGTTGAATTTTATCAAAGGCTTTTTCTGCATCTATTGAGATAATCATATGGTTTTTATCTTTCAATTTGTTAATGTGGTGTATTACATTGATTGATTTGCGGATATTAAAGAATCCTTGCATTCCTGGGATAAAGCCCACTTGGTCATGATGTATGATTTTTTTAATATGTTGTTGGATTCTGTTTGCTAGAATTTTGTTAAGGATTTTTGCATCTATGTTCATCAGTGATATTGGCCTGTAGTTTTCTTTTTTTGTGGCATCTTTGTCTGGTTTTGGAATTAGGGTGATGGTGGCCTCATAGAATGAGTTTGGAAGTTTACCTTCTTCTGCAATTTTCTGGAAGAGTTTGAGTAAGATAGGTGTTAGCTCTTCTCTAAATTTTTGGTAGAATTCAGCTGTGAAGCCATCTGGTCCTGGGCTTTTGTTTGCTGGAAGGTTTCTGATTACAGTTTCGATTTCCTTGCTTGTGATGGGTTTGTTAAGATCTTCTATTTCTTCCTGGTTCAGTTTTGGAAAGTTATATTTCTCTAAGAACTTGTCCATTTCTTCCAAGTTGTCCATTTTATTGGCATAGAGCTGCTGGTAGTAGTCTCTTATGATCCTTTGTATTTCAGTGTTGTCTGTTGTGATCTCTCCATTTTCGTTTCTAATTTTGTTAATTTGGTTCTTCTCCCTTTGTTTCTTAATGAGTCTTGCTAATGGTTTGTCAATTTTGTTTATTTTTTCAAAAAACCAGCTTTTAGCTTTGTTAATTTTTACTATGATCTCTTTAGTTTCTTTTGCATTTATTTCTGCCTTGATTTTTAAGATTTCTTTCCTTCTACTAACCCTGGGGTTCTTCATTTCTTCCTCCTCTAGTTGCTTTAGGTGTAGAGTTAGGTTATTTATTTGACTTTTTTCTTGTTTCTTGAGGTAGGCCTGTAATGCTATGAATCTTCCCCTTAGCACTGCCTTTACAGTGTCCCATAGGTTTTGGGTTGTTGTGTTTTCATTTTCATTCATTTCTATGCATATTTTGATTTCTTTTTTGATTTCTTCTATGATTTGTTGGTTATTCAGAAGCGTGTTGTTTAGCCTCCATATGTTTGAATTTTTAATAATTTTTTTCCTGTAATTAAGATCTAATATTACTGCACTGTGGTCAGAAAAGATGACTGGAATGATTTCAATCTTTTGGAATTTACCAAGACTAGATTTATGGCCCAGGATGTGATCTATTCTGGAGAAGGTTCCGTGTGCACTTGAGAAAAAGGTGAAGTTGATTGTTTTGGGGTGAAACGTCCTATAGATGTCAATTAGGTCTAGCTGCTCCATTGTGTCCTTTAAAGTTTGTGCTTCTTTGTTCATTTTCTGTTTAG